GACTCAGGGTGATGGGTTCAGGTTCGCGTCAGGCTGTGAGGGGAGGAAGGCCTGAAATATTAATTTGGGCCAGACCCGAGGAGGAGGAGGGAAACGTGTGATGTGCCTACCCGTCTGGGCTTTTCGATTTTGTTCGGTTTAACATAATTATTTCGGTTTAAAAGAAAGAAAACAAAAATAAACGGTTTGCCGCTTTGCAAAGAATTTCCTATTTGGCGCCACACGCGCCAGTTAACGTGCATTTTGTTAACTGGCGCCTGTGGCGACCGCAAATGGGCCGGCCCATCTAGGCGCCGGTTGATGATTTTGTTTTGAAAATTCTGTGAACTTTTTGATATTGATGAACTTTTCTGAATATTGATGAACTTTTTCGAAATTTAATGAACATTTGGCTTGAAAATGGATGTACTTTTTTTCAGTTCCATGAACTTTTTTTCAATTTCTGTGAACTTTTTTCAAATTTAATGAACTTTTGCTAAGCTGGATGAACTTTTTTTTCAATTCGAATGAACGTTTTTTCAAATTGATGAACTTTTTAAAAAAAAATGAACCTTTTTTAAAGTATGAGCATATTTTTTCAAATGGATGAACTTTTTTTCTTTAAATCTGTAAACCTTTCTTCATTTCATATTTTTATTTTCGTAAAAAAAACTAAAAAAAAACTTAGGGCAGCAAGCTAGTGGGCCGGCCCATGCTAGCAGCGCTGCAGGCGCCGGATCATTAACGGGCGCCTGCAGCGCTGTATAGGAGCTCCCACTTTGCAATCTGAAACCATAACAAGAACATGAAAAAACAGAAATTTCGGTCGGCCCATTAAGCGACATTCACATGCGTCGATGTCTATGTCAGATTTTGTCTGCACTGTAGCAACTTGAAGTACTGTAGCAAGCCATACACTACAGCATGCCGTTTTTCTTGTTATCTTTTTTAAAAGTATTTTTTTTAATCTAACAAATTTAAATTCTGAATAAGTTTTCAAACATTAGCATTTTTCTAAAAACAAAACATTTTTACTGAAACTCAAAAAGTATTAAACACAAATATTTTTTGAAAACAGAAACATTTTTTGCATTTTCCAAACATTTTAGAAAATTTTGAACTTTTTTCTGAAAGGCCGTGATTTTTTTTTCAATTCCGAGAAAGTTAGACAACGCAAACATTTCCCGACATTCCCCCAAAAAAACTGTAATTCGAAATATTTTTAATTCCTAAAATTTATAAGAAAGAAGGAAATGTTTTTTAATATTTTATTTTTATTTTAAAATGGAAAAAACGACATGGAACAATAAAACAAACAACATGAAATTCAAGGGGAAAAAACTAACCTAAAAACTAGGAATACTGGAAGCTGGTACGCCCAGTTAAAGTTGCTCCCTTCGTCAGTGAGCGATCGGCTACTTCTAAGTGAGCTGACGACCCAGTAGTACAGTTCGGAAGCGATTTTCCCCCGTTCCTTTCCTCATAACCTTTTCCCCGTTTTTTTGCCGTTTCTAAGGCAAATTTCGTTAAATATACATAATTTTTAAAAAATCACCGGTATGTGTTTTATACAAATTTCAAAAACTTCTGAGAATTTAAAACATAATTACTAACTCAATTAAATGTTCATGACATTTTTACTCTCCAAATTAAAAAAAATAGAAATTTCAAAGATATTCATGAATCCAAAAAGAATGTCATGTAAAGCTATAATTTGTATTCACTCATATGATAAGGTTGGCTATAATACTATTACATTTATTTTTATCTTTTCTCTATCCTTTTCTTCGAATTTATTGTATTTGCCTAGGAGCATGTGTAGAGGCAGGTTGTTGCATGATAGCCACTCCCTTATTTTTTTCATGTCTCTCTCTTCTACATAGAGAAAAGCAAGAGCAAATATAATAATAGAGTCAATTGATGGTTATATCTAATTGTCATGCCATCTATAGCCAATCTAATAGCGAAAATGCCAAATTGAGGTCAACTTCATGGAGGCCTTAATTTGAAAACTTCAAAATTCAAACATTTTAGTTCCAAGAAATTCAGGAAAAATTGCACATATACATAGAGACATAATTAATACGTGTGCAAACTTCTAGCCGAAATACGTTCAAATGAGAGATAAAAAACAAATGTGTTTTTTGCATATGTACTGTTCATCCTAAAATTCCATGATTTTTTTGCAGCTTGCAATTTGAAGTATTTCATCCTGAAATTTACATACATTACATCTCATTGATTAAATAAGAGATACTGTGATATCCCAAAATATCCACGATATTCATGTTCCAACATGGAACAACCTGCAACTGCACATGCAACTAGCAACGCTATAAGAAGGGCCGAGCAAAGCGGTTACATAGCCAAACAACGATTTGCTAGGAAGGGTGAAAAAGGTTAGAGGCTGACATGGCAATTTGGAGGCTTGATAAACAAGTGGTAGGAAGCGCGACATAGTGATAGCATCGAGACAACTAGGATAGCAATGATAGTAGTGAGATCCAGGGTAACGGTCATCTTGCCTAAAATCCCGCTAGGAAGAAGAACGAGTCCATGAAGAAGACGAACGGGCGAAGACGAACCAAGCGTAGTCGAACGAATCCTCGCGATCGCAACAAAATAGGAACTATCGAGAAGAAGCACAACCGGAAAGAAGCAAACAACATGGTAAACACACAACATATAAACATGACATGATGCACATCCAAGTATGATGCATGACAAGGCTACATGATGCTACTCATGATAAGATAGAAGAACAATACATCAAAGCAAGTTTAAATGAGGCCGGAAACAACATATAACAATTCCGGTAAGTCATCATATGCAAATTTTGAAATTGGTCCAGAACTGAATACACATTATGTTCAAGTTGTTAAACAGCAAGTTAAGATGCACAATGATGATCTACGCGAAAATGTAGTCAAGTTACATATAAAGTTCATTTAATTCGGATCTACGGCCTAGAAGATATGAGCAAAACAAGTCAAACATGGCATTGATGCAAAATGCATTCAAAGATCAAGCAAACACACTCAAACAAGAATTCAACATGACATGATGATACTACATGCAATTCTAAGCAAGTTTTATATAGAGCATGCTCAAAACAGAGAAACGGTGCAACACATACACTCCAAACAAGTTCCATACACAATCTGTCCAAAACAGTAAGTAGGCACTTTCAATCATCAAAACAACATGCTACAAGAATCATATGAGCACAAAATTGACATTCACTTCATGTACAGATAACATAGTTCAAATATTATTAAGGTTCAAGTTCATAGGCATCAAGATTAAACCAAAATGATCAATGCAAAATGCAACTTTATAACACAGGGACATATACATGAGCATAGTTAATATGATGGCATGTTGGAGGCATGAAACAAATATGCTACAACAACTATTCATAGCAACCAAGGGCATGGCATCAAAGTACACATAACAAAGAGCAAATAACATCCAGGCATCATATGCATATGGCTCATGGATTAGTGGG